ACTGTACCGGGCATTCCCCATTTGAAACTCGACGAAATGTTGGAGAACAGTACAATTCCGAACCAGCTTCAAATGCTTTATCCAATGACCATGACGCAACCAAAAAAATAAACAAAAAAACGTGTTTTCGCGACATTTAACACGAGACAGCGCCCGAGACAGCGCCGGGGTACGAAATAAAACAAAAAAAGTATCACAACTACGCGAGAATCTCAACTCTTCTGAATCAAATATTCCTTCATTCTTTCACATCTCCCACTCAAGCGGTGATGGGGATGCAGTTAATGGCAATAAGCCCGCCTGAAAGGAACTATTAGCAAGTATAGGTAAGGAGGTGTACTTGGTCCGTACCCCATGCTTTCTGGGGCGCGTCGCAGGTGACGGTGGTGGATCCGCTAGTAAGTACGAATTGAGATTCAATGGATTATTAGACGGGTAGACTGCCTACCAGTTGTTTCCGACGACAGTGATGGGGCTGCAGCTCAGCCCGACGGGGACATCGAGGCCGGTAAGGTCGAGGCCGACGAGAGCAGCGACCGCAGAGGCAGCGGAACTGGTGGAGGACACGACGCTGGTGCAGCACTGGGCCGAGGTCGGGGGGGTGACCGGCGGCGGGGGAGAGCCGTTCGGCATGGCGGCAGCAAGGGTCTACAACAAAGGTCAACGGTTAAGTTTGAAACATGTCGAGGATTTGGTGCGTACAATGAGCACAGAGGCGACAGCGATAGAGAGTTTGGAGAACATGTTTGTTTGAGAGCTTGAACTACAGAGGAGTGTGTTCGAGTGAGGAATGAGAGAGGATGGGAGGCTCTTTTATAGGTTTGCAAGAATGCATTCCCGCGATTGCACAGGACACCGCAGACACAGTACTCAGTCTGACATAGTGATAACAGTGGAGCGGTGGAGCGGTTCGACAAGAGAAAACGATGGAATGGGGTCGGGTGGTTCAGTAACGGCGAGGAAGTGAATTGAGTACCGTTATTCATTTGCAGCGGTGACAGAGAAATCATAGCAATCCGTGGAGCTTTGGACATGATGCGTGTCATGGTACCGTCTGTTCCCCAGATGCGGAGTGAGCTCGCGATAGAGTGCAGAAACCGCCAATTCGCGACAAATTTCGAATATCAGAGGGAGGAACGAGGGTCGAAATAACGAGCCAATTTTCTTTTATTGTTCCAGCAAGAAAGAGAGACAGAGTGCATCCAGGACGGGAAAACCAGCTCTCAACGTCATTGACAACAGTCTGACAATGTTACTGTAGTACCGATCAGCCAATCACTGAAATGCGGGGACAGAGCGCACCTGGGATGGCAAAGATATCGTCGACGTCACCTATGCGTTGAACGCAGTACTCAACGCCAGCCTGTGCCTGCAACGCATGGTTCAAGTGGAGCGACACGGAAAATGAACGAATTGCTTGTAGCGTCTTCTCCTGAGAACATGGATATATCTGGCTGGTTCAATGCACCATCTCCGCGGCAGAGATGAGTGGAAAGGTACATTGGAAAGGCGTGGATCAGTTGGCCATGAGGTCTAGACATCAAGCTCATGACTTGGAAATTGAGTCTGCAATTTGTATCGCTCCTGCGACCCGGACGAAAAGCATATTCCCAAACACTCGCAGCAGGTCCCGTACGATCCAACGCCGAGAATCTGTCGTATACCTAGAACAGCCTCAATGAGTCTAGAAAGGAGTTTCGTGAACAAAAGTATGAGTTCAAGAGAACAGTTCAGATGGACGGAACAAGACGGAACACGAGACTGTTTGAGGAGGAACTCCGACGAGGACGAGATCGCAAGTACCCAGTGAGAGTTCTGAGGTGCTTTCCCCCGCAATCCATAAGTTGACGCAGGTATTATCCGTTATCTCAAGCTGGTGGAACCGGAGCCCAGCCAAAAGTCGGTTACTCCAGATTCCAGGGCCCAAGACTTGGCCAGTAGCGGGTCTAGCAGCATAAAAGAGTAAAGCAAAGGTGCAATTAGCTAGAAGGATTCCAGTTCTACCCATTCTCGAGTTTCGTGGTGGAAGTTGTGGTTGTTGTGATGAGGTCGGATACTAGAAGCGTGACGCGTCGTTCGAAACGTCCAACTTCAACTCTTCAAGACGAACGACAACACATCTGGGCAACATCCTGGCTCTGGACTCGAGATTCTCGCGCCTTGTACATTCCTTGCTCTGACACTCCCAATCCGCATCCTCGGCAATTGTATCTCTTATGCTGGCTCGTCCCGCATAACATAGGGTTTCAGTTATATGCCCTCTCCTCGTCCATCGGATACAACACAAACTTCGACAAACAATTCTCTGTAACCCCCTCCCCTCCTGATGCTTCGTCGACTATCAAACCAGGAGGAGGACGACTTTGGAGGTTGTTCTGGCTGCCGGAGGCGAAGTATGTCGCGTCGTTCTCGAGACTGAATTTTTCCACACTCTCGTTATCCAGTTTCGAACGGTTCCTCTATGACCTGTCCAAAATGAACCGTGCCACCAAAGTTTGACCGTGTCGACGATATTGTGGATCTTACTTTCCTCAGCGAAGCCAGCGTCGTCCACAATCTCCGTCTGCGGTTTGGTTCGGGCCCTTCATGTCGGTTCTTTTGCGATTATTTCTACTCATACTGAGGCTAGCCGCAGACATATTCTGACTTATTCTTATTCGCCATTGATGCGTACCAGAGTCTCCCGTCATACTCCGGTACCATCGTCCAGCAGTAAACGAAGGGACGAGAATCGTCGTATTTTTACCGTCGCCGAAAGGGGCGTGGGGCATCATGCACGAAGAAAGGGAGAATCAGAACATACTAATAACGTTTGTCCACCCGTATCTGATTCCATTTGTTTCATGCTCACGAAATTAGACGCGAAAGGCGGATTGTGCCCTTCAGGTGTTTGACAAGACTAACACGTCGTCGTGGGCCAAGCCGAACTCGATCACTTATGGCGCGGTGATTGGCGCATGCGCTCGGGTCGGGAACGTTCAGAACGCGTCGAGAATCTGTTTGCGGAAATGATCGCCGCCCGAATTATCGTTCGAGTCAAACACGATGATGCAACTGTACACGACCACGCGCCCGAATCGCGACCGGGTGTTCTATTTCCACAACCAGCTGAGGACAGCGAGGATTGCGCCGACCGCGTACACGTACAAGGTCCTGTCCTTTTTGTTATTTTTTCTGAAACGATACGCTGACGGAAGTTTGCAGCTGCCTACGCCCGCATCGAGCCCGTCCATATTCTCTTTGACAGCATCAGTGGATGATCTTCGAGAATTCGAGCCACCGACGGAGCTTCCGACACGAACAGAATTATGTATCGTCCTGATGCTTGAATTAGGCTTGGAACCATTTCGTATATTTGCTGCGGACGCCCATTATACAGAACAAGAAGATGAACGAGTTGATACTATTTGAACATACATACAGCAAACTATGGATGAGCCCAAGAAAACATAAGCAGTACAATCTCAAGACAAGAAAAGGAAAGACCGGTCTCTACTGTTCATCACAGGCTTCATTCGCAAGCCTGTCCGCCTCCTCGTTTTCGGCGCGCGGAACCCATTTAAAGTCGACTCTTCCACCGTCGTTGATTTCGTCAATCATATCGGACGCTTCCTCGATCAAATCCCGATTCACAACTGGGACACCTACGAGATTCGTTGGAATGAGAGTGCAGCAACCGAGGCTCTTTCAGATCTGCTTACCGCGTGCGTTCGACCACCCGTTGGTCTTCCATTTATGGATCCAGTCGCTCAAACAACCAATAGCGTATCGCGAGTGTGAATGGTGAGGATGAAGAACGGATCGTTGTCCAGCTGAGCGCGCCTCTCGGTCGCCAGCTCAAGGGCCAAAATCACACCTGCCAGCTCTGCTCCTATCAATCACTGTGAGTTTTCATCTTTCAACTTCAACTTGAGAGTAGTGCTCACTCTGATTCGTAGGAATCGGATACTGCGGAAGCGCGCGCGACCACCGTTTTGAGCCATTGAGAGGCTTGCTGAACCATGCACCGGCTCCACCCACTGCGCCAGGTTGACCATTTCCGCGACAAGCGCCGTCAGTCCAAACGTCGATCTGGTATGGCATGGTGGGTGAGGCAAAAGACTATTCGATTCGCACAAAGGAGGACAAAGGCTATAAATAGTCGACCACATTGGCACCGCCACCTGATGTGCAATGAAGATCCCGATCATTATCATTCCTCGTTTCGACATTGCCGAAAGTGCCAACCCGAGTTCAAACTGCCAGTGGGGAAGGCAATAAACGGGTTTCTCTTCATCTGGTGCCAGTCCGTGACCCGGGTGAGTCCCCGCTTTCGTCACTCGGACAGTGAGCTTTTCGAGTCGCATTCAGTAGAAAACCGAGTTATGTGAGTACTCGTAGTATTTACAAACCAAAACCTAGAGTCACCAAAAGCTTGAAATGACGAGAATCGGAGAACGACTCCCCTAGTACGACGTTCTCGCATGACCACCGGAGTTCGCACGGTTGACTCGAGATCTGATCCATTTCCTCTTTCGGAAGGTCGGTTCAACTTTCGTTCAACCGTTTCTTTTATTTCTTCTAGTTCCGCCGTTGGTCGATCCGATACCAGTAAATCCAACTTGAATCCAGTTTAGCATTGCCGAGTACTCACTGAGATTAAAAGAAGTGGTGATGAGATACAGAGATATCTTCGAAAAAGAGGTAACCGGTCTGCCGCTTTTGTGATCTGATCATGTAAGGTGAGCGAAGCTGGTAGTTTTTCTGGTTTTAGCCGGTACATCGTTCGACATGGCGTGGCTTCGATGAATATGATCAGCTAACTACAGTGCTACTGTGAATCAAATCTCAATTCATGCCATTCCAGCTGTAGAAAAAATGCTCTATTGCTCGCTGAACTGCGCAAGTAATAAATGATCTCATTTGAAATGTCGAGAGATACGAATTGGCGTCGCCTTAATTATACTTCAGTAGGAATTTTGAAGCTTGAAAAAGAAAGTATGAAATTTTCGTGTGTGTCATGCGCCATCGGGGACTCGAACCCCGGAATCGTCCAACGAATCATTTCCATTGTATATAAAGCAGACGTGTGTTACCTCTACACCAATAGCGCAACATCAAAATCTAGTATTGACGCAGTGCCATATTGTACTGTAGCGAGAGAGCACCAACAGGTTAGAGGCCAAAATAAAAGAACACAACAATATCGGCTCATGTACTATGTCTGTGGTCGGCGAGGTTTTTTCAAGTTTTTCAAGTTGAAAAAGAGGAGAAAAAGAGAGAAAAGGGAGGGAGATTCAGATACTTACCTGGACTGTATGTAGCTGTAAAATTCGGCTGGAAGGTCGCGGTTCCAGCCAAAAAAAAGGTCAGAAATCTTGATTGGACTGTCAATGCCGTCGTTCCGGTGATGATCAAGCCTTTCAAGACCTGTGTCTTTCGGAGTTAATGGCTTATCGTCGGCCAATGGGTTTTCAAGATCTTTTCACGTGCTGCGAAATCACGAACGTGACTCGGCTGTGCAACGCGTCTTTGACGTGTCTCGCTGTCTGCTGGTCTTTCTTTCTGTCGCGCACACAGTAATGTCTCTACAACACTCCGGAAAAAAACCTAGGCAACACTTTATATATGTTTTTAAGTCTCCGTGGCCGCGCACCCAAATCAGTGTACTTGCAATAGAAAATCCAAGACTTCCTGTACGACTGGCAAAGGAAGATAATCCGGTTCTGAAGCGTGGAGCACTGGACTCGATAAATCATCAAATTCCATTTTGGATGGGTTGCATTTTGTGGACAATAATTAGGTGCGTGTTTTTTACACTATTTCTGCAAAAATGACGGAAATTTACCACCACGCCATTCGCCATACTCCGCTGATGTCTCGGGGGCACCGACGTCTCAGTATGAAGCCCCAAGTCGCTGCCTGAGCTCACGCACTGCGGTTTGTGTTGCCACTGCACGCGCACCAGTGATTGCGCATTCCTGCTCTCATTTCCATCTCAGCCACTTCTGTATCTTCATTTCCTTTGATACCTGCTTTATTATTAAATTTAGAATGTCCTAGAGCTCACCCTTGGCTCACCCTTCTATTGAGTAAACCCCTCAAGACTCGAAGTCCCTTCGACAGACTGCCAAGAATATGTATTCGGCACTGGAATGCCTTCAACCGCTGCATTGCCGCTGCAATCTTGTTCCACCGGGACTTTAAAGTGAGTTTCCGCCTGATTATTCTCACCCAACTTATCAAGTAGACGTCTTGGATGCCGTCTAGATACCTATCCTGTAGTTTTGGCTGGATGGCCGTGGATGCGCATGTAAATTATCCCGGCACTCTGCCAAATTAGGCCTTTACACACAAACAGACCTCGAAAAAATTGAACATATGGCAGAATTCATTGAAGTAGAACACCGGGATGACCCATAGACGGATCATACCCCTCTGAGGCATTCGCCGCCGAACGCGCGCCCCGACGTCCCCGCCATCGACGGAATGGCAAAGCAGTGCATGGGTGGTGCAAGGATCACACGGAACAGTGATTAGATCAACCATCAGCACGGGTGCTGACCTATCAACATAGGTAACCACAGCCATAGTGCATGAGCCACAATATCAATATGTGCTCACCAATTTATGAAAATGAAAAATAATGTTACCGCTGTAAGAAATCAGATCACACGGGAGTTCGAGCCAACCAAGATATATTCGAGGCCAAAAGATACAGCGTCGGGGGATAAGGAAAGCTAGCTGAATAGGTAGTACATCTGGAATATAAGCAAGAAACGAGGAGACGGAAAGGGGGGTAACGAAGAGGTATCGAAGAGATGGAAACAGAACTCGGGGATCGCGGCGCGCAACCGATCACATTCTCAACACTCCCACTGAGCGTTGTGCGCCGCTGTACAGTAAATTAGCAATGTCGATGAATAAGTGTTCAAGAATAAAGAAATAGTCAAAAAAAGCTCCCACTGGAGCAAAACTGCACTTCAAAATGCGAAAGTCTGAGCAATATTGGCGGTGGTATCGGGAACATCTGGTTCGGTGCATTCGCTCTGGAAGTGTCCCAACTTCCGGCACTTGTAGCAAGTGATGCGCGACTTGTCTCGCATCGTGCGAGTAGTATAAGCAGCTGTGGGGGGGTCGAAGGCACCAGGCAGGGACAGCGCATCTGCCTGTCGGGCTTCTTCATTCAACAACCGACCAATGACGAAGTCGAGATCGTCCTTCTGTGCATGCAAGTCGAGTGAAATGATGAGCGTGTCGTAAGATGGGGGAAGGGACATAAGAAGTGTTGCAATAATCTGCGTGTCCGAGGGTTTGTCGTTGTAGAGTCGTCTGAGCTTCTCCGCCAGGCCACGGACAGCCGCAATGTGAGCGCGCATGGTCCCTGGGTCGCCAGACTTGCGCAACGCATAAAACTTCTTCCACACAACCACAACCCCACCTATAACGCCCTCATGTGTCTCCTTCAATCGCTGCCACATGCCTGCGGGGTCCTCCTCGAACTCGCGAACATGCGCAAATTGGGAGGGATCCAGCCTCCCAATAATCGTCGCCGTTGCGACGTCACGCTTCACCACCCACGCCTTCACGGCCTTGCTGCCATTGCTGCCCAGCGGCTGCGGTTCGTCACCCAAAACGATAGGCAACACACCTTTCCTCCGCAATTCAGCCCTGGTCTCAAACTCCCATTCATCATACGGCACACGGTCAGACAACTTCGTCCCACCCTTCGATTCTCCCGTCGGTTTCGAGTCATCCATCGGTTACGGTTTCAGCGGCGGCAAGCAACACAAGCGCCTCAGTCGGTTACGGTTCAGTCGGCGGCGAGCAACACAGGCGCCTCGTGCGGTTACAGTTATGGTTACGGTTCAGTCGGCAGCAAGCAACACAAGCGCCTCGTGCGGTTACGGTTCAGCGGCAGGCACCTCGGTAGGTCAAGCAGCGAGCAGAAATAGGCCAGATATGTATAGAGGGGAGGGCGAGGTTTAGAGGGAAGCAGAGGATGCGGCACGGAGGCCCATAACCTGTAAGAAATCAGATCACACGGGAGTTCGAGCCAACCAAGATATATTCGAGGCCAAAAGATACAGCGTCGGGGGATAAGGAAAGCTAGCTGAATAGGTAGTACATCTGGAATATAAGCAAGAAACGAGGAGACGGAAAGGGGGGTAACGAAGAGGTATCGAAGAGACGGAAACGGAACTCGGGGATCGCGGCGCGCAACCGATCACATTCTCAACAACCGCCACCTGTCACAGTCAAGACTCGCGTCCCACTATCAGACAGAGGATAGGGGATTGGGTGGTGCGTAGTAGTCTCGAAAGATGATGGAATAAAAGGCTAAAGAATACAGGCAACTAGCTACTGCTTAAATACTGTACTATGAACCGTGAGAATATTAAAGACGTGTGTAAAGTATGTGTTGTCCATGAGGTATGACATCATCAGTCCGCCATGTGTTTACCATGTTCCTTCTAGAACCTTCCATGGCTATCAATAATCTAACCCTAATCTAGACGATCTTATCCCTTGTCTTATCTCCTATCTAATCTTGTGAGCGCTTAATGATCTTGGGCGCTAAGATAAGATGACGCGATTTAGGCCAAAATCGTGACATTACCCCCCTCTTAAGGCTCGACGTCCTCGGCGAGCACGGGGCGTGTCCTATCATCGTCAACGATGACAAATTCGTTCGTAATCGGATTAAATAATTTCTTCGTCGAGTATTGTAAGGACTCCTCCTTGGGTTTATAGCGTTTAATTAAATAATCCCAATATCCAGTTGGGAGGATCGGCACAGCTCGGATCTTAATGCCGTGCTTCTTGTTGTAGTCGGACAGCAACTTCTTGACATGGGTAAGATGACGGGTCGGCTCCCATGTGCGTTCCGCCAGCGGATAGTCCTTCCACTTGATTAAATACTGGTATCCACGACCCCTCTTCCTGTGTTTGAGGATTTCCTCCACCTCGTATTCAGGAACTCCACCGATTAACTTGGGTGGCGGCCGCTTCTCCCGACGATCCTCCGGCGCTTCCACAAAAGGCTTAGAAGCGCCTCGTTAAATACGTCGTGCATCCCCTCGGTCTCGGGTAACTTGAGCCGATAAGACGAAGCCCCGACTTTTTCTATGACTTCATACGGCCCCAGCCGTACATCCCCGAGCTTCTTCGAAGGCCTATCGGTCTCGATATCCTTCCCCTCTATCAGGACTTTATCTCCAGGATTAAAAGTCGGAGCGTCCCGGCGCTTGTCGTCGTAATATTTTTTCATGTTTTTCTGTGTTTTCTCAAGCGCCGCAGACGCTTCGTCACGAATCTTCTTCATCTTATCGGCGAACTCCTGCGCCGCCTCGTTACGTGTCTCCACGGCGTTCTCGATCCCTTTCCAAGGGTGATAGCCGGTGTTTAAATAGAATGGGGAGGCCTTCGTCGCTGACGAAATCTTGTCGTTGTGGGCAAACTCGGCCAAAGCGAGCCATTCAGCCCAATCGGTCTGCCGATAATTTACGTAGACTCGGAGATACTTCTCGATCTCCTGTTCATCCGCTCCGTTTGCCCGTCGGTGATCGGATGGTGTGATGTGGACGGGTTCATCTCGATTCCCAGAATCTTATTGAGCTCCGTCATGAAGCCGGATAAATAACGCGTGTCTCGGTCCGAATGATTTCCGGGGTACTCCGTGATATCTAACCACTCGGTCACGCGTCAAGCGTGCAACCCCTTCTGACGTGAGTTCCATGTTCGTGGCTTCGGCATGGATCATTTTGGTGAACGTGTCAACCCACACCTGTATGGCGTTGAACCCGTTGCTGACTGGCAGCGGACCGATCAGATCCATGGATATGATCTGCCATGGACCCTCCGCAATCTTGTGCGGGTTAAGTTTGCCCTGCTTATAGCGATGGACGGTCGTCCTCTGGCATGGCTCGCATGCGTGGATGTACTCCGTGACTTGGTTGCCGAGTCGAGGCCACCAATAATTACGTTCGACCATTTCTTGCGTCCGATTCTCTCCGGGATGACCAAGCAAGGGGTTGTCGTGGTGTAACCCAATAATCTTATCGCGAAGCTCCTTGTTTCGCGGTACGTAAATAGCATTCTTATAATAAATAA